GTATAATATATATTGTATAATATGTGAATATATTATTGATATATTACATGATTATAATATGTGAATATATTATTGAATGTGTATATTGAGTGGAATATATATATATATATACACACATGTATATACCATTGAGTATATCACAGTAATTAATGGCCATGAAGAAAATTAGTTTTCTCTATTATACGGTAAAAATACCGTATGAATAGCTTTCTTTTTGGAATACAATTTTCAGAATGTTTAACTGTAATTACACCACAAAGTGCAGGTTTACGGATGATTACACAGATCTTAGGAGGAGTGATAAAGACCACTATCAGAAAGTCTAATTGCATTACATTCATTCTAGATTAGACAGTTTGGTCGTTGTACAGTTTTTCAGTTTGTAGCATGTTTCATAAAAGTAGTAAATTGACTTTTCCAAGGATGTATTGTGCTTGAGTGTCCTGAGGGTGAAAGGAACATTTATTAACTATGTTCCCATGGCAAGAATATCCTGTAGGAATTGCATTGGACAAAGTAGTTGAATTCCAGCTTTTCTTTACTGTGATTTGTATCTCCTTTTCAGATTTGAGGGACTTTTGCATGTTTTTCTTGGCTCAACATCTGACAGGTGCATTGTCCAGCCTTGGTTTTTATCCCTTTCATTATGGAATTGTTGCTATTTAATAGAAATTTCACACAGGGATACAATTCTTCCCAAATACATCACACCAATACCTCATTTTTTACATGATGAATAGAAACAGTACTTCCCAGGACTTGTGAATAGTAAACACTGTGACGGGCTCTCTAACAAACTAACTTACTTAGACTGATGTCTTACTGCTGCCCACTGAAATTCTGTGTGTGCTGTGTTCTGCCTCTTTAGTTTTAAAATTTGCAGTCATTCCCAATGTGTGAAAAGTTTCTCCTCTCAGAAAAGTGCACATGTTCATTCATTTTTAGGGGTAGACATTTAGCCAGCCACTGAAAGTAATACAAAACTAACGCAAAATACAATCATTCACCACAGGAGTTTGGATTTGTTGAATGATATGTAAACATACTGGCATAATTCCTGCCGCGGCAAAGCACCATAGAAGGCGACTTGTAACAGGGTGACATGCTCGTGCATTATCAGAGAACAGCTACTTTGAGCTGAGATGGTCAGGGGCAGCTATGTGACATTTCTGGGAGAGTAGAACCCAGATGGCCACCTAGTTTGTGGGCGTGTAGAGACCAAGGGGGGTTGAGGAATATACTTAGCAACATGAATGTAGCTTGTTAAGGAAAGTGAAGAGTTTGTCTTAGCTAAAGTAAAGGAGCTACACAGCGAAACAGTGACATCTGATGACCAGGGCAGATTGCATTGTGGAGGCTCTTAAAAAAGAAATTTTTCTGAAAAGCAAATCTAAAGATCCATTGAAACTCATTGAAGGTTTTTGAGTAGGTGAGTGGAACAGCAGAATACTGACTTAAGATAAATTGAGAGCACTGCTTACTAATATGTCTTCCCAGGATCATTCATGAACAGAGTTTCTCCAAAAGGCTCTCCTAGGTCAGATAAATGGGGAAAATACTGGGTGTCTGTACTGTGGGTCTTCTTTAAGACATTGATATGTTATT